AGTTTTAATGCTCGTTTTAAATTACCATATGAAACAGAATCCTGCTAATAATGACTTAACGTGGCTGAAATTCAATAACATTAATTTGCCCCCGTCTTCTAAATGACAGAAGCTTTCGGACGCAGCAAAAATAATTGTAATATCTTGAAGGTAGCAAACGGCGAATTAATTGTCAGTAGCGGCGGCTGAAATATAACTCTAACTTCAATTCTTAAAACGAACATAAACACTTTCTACACGACACTTTTCGTAACGAAGCGCCCAACTTAAAACGCTTCTAGATACCGAGCTGTGTTCATCTACAGAGTGATCACTAAAACAGGTACACGTCAAGGTGGGAAACGGGTGCAATTCCCCTCTTATTACTTTGAACGGCCACAATGGCGGATTATGACTCAAGATGGCGATGTCTAAATTTTTATTGGTTAATGTTATTTTTCACTACCAATCCTGAACGGCTGGTTAAAGATCTCACTCATTTCCATTGACAAGCTGACTCAAAAGTTTCCACGATACGAGTTTATTTCATGAATAAACTAATAAGAAACGAAGTCTAATATCTCCCATAAAGAGGGTGTAATTCAATATTTACTCCCGTAACCTTGAATTAAAGAAGAAAAGACCATTGAAAATTGGATATGTGAATAGATACATGTTTCGTTGACCGCAATCACCCAGATAAGTTGTTTACACCATCACGACCAAAATTTGTTTGGGAAGACCTCGGGGAAGACACTACAGAACCTTGACTTTTTTACGCTAATCATTTGCATAATGTTATGCTCCCTAAAATTATTGCAAAATATACTTTTGAGACACTTTTTTATTAATAGATACTGACCAAATAATTCCATTTCCATCCCCTAATATGCCTGCAAGTTTCGACACGCAAGCAGATAGACAGGGATATACGTGAAACTTAAGCTTAGGATAACTTTTGAGTTTGACTGACAAATAGAATACCACCCTCGATCGAATTCCATGTCATTCATCTTGTCTTGATGTATAATAATGGCATTCCTAACTTCTGAACATTGACACAGTGGAAGGGAGGGTGCTACTTCGATTGTACTGGCGCATTAAAATTAAATTGAAGAGTAATGCGACTCTAATGTTAAACACAAATAATAGTGATTCGAGGAGCGAATGGCGAATGGAAGCAATTTGCAGTCATTTTAATTCAATTAAGTTCGAAGTGGATGTATTTCAAAGGAGCCGTAATAAAAACAATCCGCACCCTCGCCGCATTAGGGCGTTAAAATATACACAGCTGAGTAAACGTAATATCGTAAGAAAGATACAATCGCAGCAATAGTGACAAACGTTGTAAATCCAAGTCGAAATTATATCCTTTCACATTAATCACATTGAGCATTAATTGTGTGACGTCTACAATTCCTATATCGTATACAACGCGAGGTTTTGAGTTGAGTGATTTTCAATACAACGTTTCGGTTTGGAGAAATCATCAACTTTTTTTTTATATGGCATCTAAAAAAAGCACATACAACGATGTATGTACAGTACACCCAAAAAAAAAAAACAAAAGTTGGTTTCAACAGGGTGGCGCACCCGCACACAACGTGCGAGAATATCTGTCGGACAAATTTTCCGCGTCGTTAATGATCGACGAAGAACGAACAACTAAGTTGTCAAATTGATTCCCATCTCTGTCGCGCTTATCAATGCAGGTGTCGTTTTATCAAAACGGTCCAATTAATTTGCCCGATAATAACTTTTATACGCACATGTGTCCTAAGACATGTGTCTCCTTTTTAAATTAAATGTTTCCTTATTTACGCGTGCCTTGAATTTCATACACTCATTTAAATACAATAACAGGCCATAAATTGCGTATACGAATTCACAATTTACAATACAAAAAACTAAACATTACAATGAGGATTAAATAAAATCCCAAAATTCGGTGTTTACTTGACAAACTGTCCTAAACAACATAAATTAGAAGATTATACAGGATGTTCCGTCTGAAACCTCCAATGCCAAACCAAAATTACGTTCACAGTACGCGTATGTAAATCTTCAACAATAGGGTGAGTAGCACTCACTGTCGGCATTTTTTCGAACTAGAGAAACGAGACCCCCCTGTAGTTTACACAACTAATATCAACACACAAGTTCTTGAAAAAAAACCATGAGATCAAATATTATATTAAAAATTTAAACTGTGCTGTTTCTCAAAAAATGTACTTTAAAAAAATTAATTGTTAAGTGGCCCCGAGGGTCTTCTGAACGTGCCAACTCTTACACTTTCGTCATTTTCCAGTAATCCTCCGAACATTAATGACACATTAGGTTCACTTATGGAATGAAAATTATATTTTAAACGTTGAAATCCCCTGAAGTATCTCTAACTTAGAATCGCTTGACGCAATTTAAAAGACCGACCAAAAGTACTCCGTGAAGATATGGAAGGGTCTACTGCTAAGACGCTCTAATCCTTATTGGCGTTTGGGGTGACTTTAAAATCGACTCTACGTAATTTCCTCTTTCTAAACCGCACCGGGCGCCACCCACGATACGGATTTTCATGTAATTGTATAGTGGGAGTATAAGTAAAATTTTACGTGGCGCTAAGAACCTAGGTGAGCGTGATACGGTATGAATATTCAACAGCCATTCTCCCTCGTTTCTGAAAGGTACCGGTGAAATAACGCTTCCGCAGGAAGGCTCTCGCACATCGTACGTGCACTTCGATCGAACAATTCCTTTTCATGATCTTTTACCGTTTTAAGCTATTCTTCTCCGGTTTTTAGTGTTTGTTTATGCGGCTTGTTCGACATTTGAGCCTTTATGGATAATAAATTGAACGTCGTCTGGCGCGCTTGTCGTAAATTTGGATTATGTCCCTATTTTAAATGTATGAAGCCGATTTTGTAATTAGGGGCTAATGTATAGTGTAACCCATTCGTACGAAATTTCATTTTAAAAACCGGTGTATAAGTGGTCGCACTCCATGTGATCATCGATGGGTGATATTCACCCTTGAATCATGAAAAACTGACCAATTGCATTTAAACTGAAAGTTGTGCTAGAGACGGTCACATTACGATCCCTAAACGGAATGGAACATTTCACCGCCCCCGTTTCATTGTCCATCGGGTAATTTAGGTTTATATGCGTGACCCAATTGCTTATCTAAGGCCGAAGGTTCAGTATGACCCGATTTGGTAAGTTGCAGCTATCTAGCTTATAAGAGCAAACAGATACATTTTTCACGATGGGAATGTGTACAGGTGTGCGGTTGGTGTACCCTCGAACTAGGACTGGTATTTTTCAGAGAGGGAGTAGAGACCAATTAATAACGAGCCGATCTGAGACAATTTTTTTTCGGGACCAAAAAAAGGCAGTTTATAACCTTCCTTTTTTACCTAAAATCGACTACACCAAAATTTCTCAGGAAAATACTTTTTCTTATTAATTTTGGTGTGTACAATCCAAAACAATTAGTACTTTCACGATTAGACTTCTCAATCAAAAGTTATGGACTAGAAACCAATTTCGAAAGAAAATTCAAAGGGCTGTAACTTTTGAACTAGTAGTCCAATCTTGGAACTGTTTGAAATTATTTATTTTACAGGCCACATTCTATAAGAAAAATTTTTTCCGGGTCGATCTGAGACAATTTTTTCTTCGGGGCTCAAAAAAAGGCGGTGTATAACCTTCCTTTTTTACCAAATATATACTGCACCAAAATTTCTCGGGAAAACACTTTTTCTTATTAATTTTGGGGCGTAGAATCCAAAACGATTCGTACTTTTTCGATTAGACTTCTCATCAAAAAGTTATGACTAGAAACCAATTTCGGAAAGAAAAATTCAAAGGCTGGGTTAACTTTGAACTAGTAGCGCCGCAATCTTTGGACACTGTTTGAAATTATGGATTCTACAGGCCACATTCTATAAGAAAATATTTTTTCTCGGTCGATCTGAGACAATTTTTTCTTCGGGGCTCAAAAAAAGGCAGTGTATAACCTTCCTTTTTTACCAAAAATCGACTGCATCAAAATTTCTGGGGAAAACACTTTTTCTTATTAATTTTGGGGCGTAGAATCCAAAACGATTCGTACTTTTTCGATTAGACTTCTCAATCAAAAGATGGACTAGAAACCAATTTCGAAAGAAAATTCAAAGGGATGTAACGTTTGAACTAGTAGCCCAATCTTGGAACTGTTTGAAATTATGGAATCTACAGGCCACATTCTATAAGAAAATTTTTTTCCGGGGCGATCTGAGACAATTTTTTTTTCGGGCCTCAAAGAAAGGCAGTGCTTCCCTTTTTACCCAAATCGACTGCACCAAAATTTCTCGGGAAAACACTTTTTCTTATTAATTTTGGTGCGTAGAATCCAAAACAATTCGTACTTTTTCGATCAGACTTCTCAATCAAAAGTTATCAGGAAAGTTATGGACTAGAAACCAATTTCTTCCAATGCTTACAAAACCAACCCCCTCTTAATTACCGAGTAAAATTTTGAAGGCTTCCAATGGCGGATTATCACTAAAAATGGCTATATGCCTAATTGTTTATCGGTTACGGTCTTTTGTACTACCAATACCGAAGGGCTGTAGCTGTTAAAGATCCACTCAATTGAAAACATACACCCGATCATCAATTTCCATGGACTGAATTCGCACCGAATTACTGTTCAAAAACCTAAAATTTAAATAAATACATTGGCCACAATAGCCCATTCTTTTTCAATTACATTAAAATAGACTCAAAAAGGGGGGTTTGATTTAGTTATTTGTTGTTGCGTATAGCATAAACAAAATTCAAAGAGCAGTCAGAAGTTTGTGCAATTGAAGTTAAAAACCACGAACGTTTACTTTTATAAACTAGAAACATCGATCTCATAAAAGGACGCTTTTTTACAGGTTTCCACGCCATTAATTTCCTTATCGCACGAACACGACGTTACAATCCTTTTTTTAAGTAGGTAATTTTTTACGTAGTCTTCGTCGATATAGCGCGAAAAATAAACAAAGTGCCAAACGTCGCAATCGTGCTAAATTTATTTGCGGGAACGTGGCGAAGTAACACCGGCTCTCATTTTATTATCCTTCATCAGCGGTCCCTTCAGGTTAATAAAAAATGACAACTTTCGGTTTAAATAAAGATTGATTGCGCGATCCATCTTTGGGAAAACTTTTGTGATGGGAGTTTGTTTGTCAATCATGTATTGCCAAATTGTATGTTCCTATCTTGTTAGTCACAATGAAAAATTAAGCAGTTCGCCAGAATTTCCAGAGTTAAGTTTGAAACTAACGTCTAAATGTCAGGATTATCAACATTTGGAAATTCCCATAGGATATCGGTTGCTTATTGAGCAAACAAGACGAATGGTCGGTGTGGCAGTTTAGCAAAATGGCCACATAATTAATACTGTTTCGATTTTATGGAAATTTGAACGAAAATTACTTTTTGATTAATGAGTTCTAATGCAACTAATTACTTTACGGAATACCCTTACTCCAATAGAGAAATTTAGCGGGAAATGAAAATACAAACGCACCTCGCTAGTGGGGATTAGGTAGCGGGCTTCTCGAGCAGCAATTAGTGAAGAGTGAGATTTCTAAATTTTTGCTGAGAAAATACAGCAGGCCACCCGCCAACCCACCATAAGCTTAAGCTTTCAGAATTGTGATTAATTAAGTGGAGATCTTTTACCTTCCGGTCTTTTTTACGGTTTGCTTACGAAGAATATTGTACACATATCCGGTTTAATGAAAGATGTACTTACCCACCCTTTCCAGTGGCTTCAATGTGTTATACAGATGGGGCTGCTAATGAAAATGCAATTAATCTTCCACAAAAGCACCAAAATAATTACTTATTTGAAAATGATTTGCTGGCGAAATAGAGTTCAAATTGAAAGCATACGGCCGCATAAATGGATTTTAATTGATCTTCATTTATACAACGGAAACTCTTTTTGTTTCAGAACAAGTGTGGAATACGGACCTCGATTTTATAATTCAACATAAGGAAAGTACGCTGATGAATTTTGTAACAATCTCTCCGATTGGAACTTCGTCGGTATTGCCTGTAGAATCACCAGAGAATACCAGTAGGCTAAAGGATCTATTTTTTAGTAACATTTTTAGTCATCTGAGGCGATGGTTTGGAAGCGACGACCACATTATGGGCGGTAAGTAAACATCAGTTCTCTATTATTGCTTCTAAAGGCACTGAAGATTATTTTTTTCCATTTTGGCATTTTATATCAACTCCATAGTAACCGTCATAATAGTTTATGACCCCCAAGGGGCATATCACTGGTCAAATTTGGACAAGAAATGCAAAAAAAAATTCCAAAAATTCCCAATGACTATAAAAAAACCAATAAATTAAAAAATAAAAAAAATACTTAATGTTTCTGCTATACTTATAAAATTGTTTTAATTTAACTGTATCATTAAGACTACAAAGAATAATAAAAAAACTATTTTAATCTAAACAGTGAAGTCATATTTTACTGAACCTGAACAAAAATAAAAAATGGAACTACATATGTATTTTTGGAGAACAAGCGATAAGACAATACATATTGAGGAAAGCTTGCGCTGTTGCTACGATTTCGGTGGCCCCCGTGATAGTTGCGAGGTTGCGCTGTAGAATCGTCTGGAGATGAAATATAAGTATGAAATACTTTCGTTGGGTACGTAGTTGGGCACCAATATACAGAGTGCAGAATTGGTTTGCTAACCATCGGTATTTTAATGGTAATTTCCTTATATTGAAATATTTTCTCCCCTAATCATTTTACCTATTCTACCTATTGATGGAATATAATCACGCAATTGTTTCGTGCAGAACTGACAGCGTCTTGATTTTTCGGTGTCCATTTTCATGCCTTTTCGTCAGCCATCAAAGTTCACTTCGATTAAGAAAAACAGCTGAAAGCGTAAGTTGAGCGCATGGAATTCTAATTACCGTCTGCCGAATATATATGGATCTCTGGCGATTAGACTTATATTTGGAAATTCCGAAGTGATTATTAGAACGGGATTTGCCTGTGCTGCTAGTGGAGTTTATACATTGTCATAAGTTGAATTTATTAGTGTACAATTTCATTAATTTATTTGTCGGGTACCTTCTTTAAGTTTTTGGCTGTAGATGTACGGTAATTTTTATCAACAATCGTTGCTTCATCTACGATTAGCCCTCTTATATAAGAGGTATGTAAAATTTTATGTCATCAAAGAAAGGTGGTTGCCTTTGATTTCTTTTAGGGTTCAAGCCCCATACACGTATTGTGTTAGATACTAATTCTTGTCCGATGTACAAGTTTTGTAACCTTGGGTTACATTCGACGCTCTTAGCTTACTTCGACATCTGTTTATAGCAAGTGGCCTTCTTGCTGTCGCCGGGGTCAAGAATGAGATTTAACATCGAAGATCGACCCTCATATTGGACAACTTCCATAGCCCTTTAGTGTCTTAGTTGGTAACTGTTTTGCCCCTTCAGGGTTATATGCGATTAAAGTAATTTGTGGACATCAGTACATGCTCAGTATCTTTGCCATCGAGTTTGAAAAGCGAATTGTGTTGGAGATCGCCACTTCTTTCTAAAGGGGTTGGCCAGTTAAGTATCGTACTTGGTTTAGAACCAGATTACTAGTAGAGCAAGGCCGTTCAGGCAATATTATATACCGAGCCCTGTGACTTGAGAGGTTTTTCTTTTTGATTGNACGAACTACCGTTGGCCCGTTTTAATGTGGCTGGTGTTGAGTTTTAAGCAGCGCCAATTCTGCCTGCTATATAAATTCCATTAATATTGGGTTTATTTTTTTCTTACAAAATACGAATAAAAATTAGGCATATTCTACGTAACAAAAATAGGTATTATGTAGGTCATAATCTAACGAAACTGGTATAAGAAACGTTTAAACTAATTAGGTAAATAAACGTTTTTAGAATTAACCTGACAAACGTATATAATACGTTTTTAATTTCGTAGTGGAATATTCATTTGTTTACTTGTTAAAATTATTTATAGTTTACTATAAGGAGATTGGTATAAGGAATACGTATTTTATACGATTGCATTATTTCGTGTTAAATACGACCGTTTTATATGTATATTTATTTATGATGCTTTTGTATAAACCTTTAACAAGGGAGGACACCAGACGTTCACTACTCAGAAGACTTTTTCTTCAAATAAGCAGAAGCAAATATGTGTTAACAACTAAAACCTCTGAACAACCGAAACTACATTGCAGCCGCAAAAATAATTAAAATGAGTGGCTAATTTAACAGAAGATAAATTTAATTTAAACGGGCCAACTTCTATAGGGGTTTACGTTGAAATTAATTGCATACTCCCTCGATTATAATTTCCTGGAGTGTTTCGATGACAAGTACAAAATGTTACCTATTTGTCAAGAAAGTGTCAACAATTTTCATTTGTGTAATGATCAGAGAAGGAGGTTATTCAAAATCCGAATTTTAAAACGAACTTTGCTTCCAGATACAGGGCCTTCGGTTAGCCTCGAATACATAAACTTAGCAATAAGTTTAGCGATATATTCGATACGCTACTCGGCTGTGTTTTGGGGAACAAATAAATGTCTGGGATTAATATTTTCCATTCAAATGCTAGTCAATAGCGTCCAAATTTTGACGACCTACGTTGGAATATCTATACTATATAAGGTAGGTGCGGCGATTGTACCTGCGTGCTAATTAATTGTGTAAATTCCCAGATTCTTGTAATGAAACCTCATCCTCCCATACAACTTAACCATTTGGCGATACTGTCACTATTTATATCTTCATCGCTAGTTATTTTATCGTCGAGCGTAGTACTTTACCTTTATGGACATACAAGGTGGGTAATATCATGGTATGATTTGCGTCTTGATCTTGATCAATGTGCAGGTTTAATGGATTCCTGAATAAGCAACAGGAGAAGAGAGTAATAGTGATAAGGGAAGGCTCTGGACAGTCGAAATGGAGTTGGGTGGCTTACTTTGGAGCTGTAGTTGTTGTTGTATTAATTACGCCCTGCATAGGACTACTAATTAATGATTTTGTTATTGTAAATAAAGTGTGCCAGAATAAAGCGGTACTGGTAAGTGCCGTTTCGTGCGTATTCCACGTTTTCATTTGGATCATCGTGTGGGGCTTTCTCTTGATAAAAAGCTCATGGACATTCAAACTGAGGGTTACTGTAAGTCGATAACAATTCACTAGTGCAATTAATACCCATTGAATGCATCCGTACAGGTGGGGAAGGCAGTTGTAAAGCAACCAGCATCTGTGAAGCTAGTAACGGATGTAGACCTAATGACACGCCACTCTCAGGATCCAAGCGTGCTGCCTTTACTCGTTGTAGGTAACGGGGAAACGTACAGCGTGGCCGATATTTCCCCGAAGCGGGAAATAATGAACATCATCGCAAAGGCGAAGATGCAACGGAAAAATGGAGACAACACTAACGGCGAACAGGTTTACTTCATGAAACCCACGTTAGTCTCCCCGAAAGCTTCGCCGGACGAAGAAGACATGACGTTCTACAATAGAGGCAATAAAAAGGTCACCTTTAAGGAACCCGTTGCACGGTAATTAGATCCTTTGCCATCTCCAATCGTCGCTTGTAGATCGATTAATTTGCTTATGGCTTAGCGCACTAAAAGCTTTCTTCTTTTTCTTTTTGTACATTAGAGTATCATTATCAGAGAACAAATGTCTATTTCATTTTAGAGATAAAATAGATTTCGATGATGGTGACTATGCAGCATTAAAAGAGTTACCATTACCATTACCACCCCCGCCACCTTCAGATGAGGATGACACGATCAGTGAAGCTGAGGTATTACCATTTGTCAACTTTTTGTATGTTTTGTTAGCGATAGTTTTTAAATATCATGATGTTAAGTCACATGTTTGATAACAGATCAAGGATGCTTTGTGTTGCTTTATGGCTATTGCCGTGTTTACTTGCTTATGGAATGAGGTCGACCCCTAATTAACATGGTGATAGCAATGTGGGCACCAGCATAATACATTATTATGGTTTTGGGAAATGATTTTGTTTACCAACGAACATGAAATGCCTAAGCTGACTATGTGTACTGAAATCACAGAAACAGTAAAACCAATGTACAGGGTGGTTCAAATTGGACGCCTTCTTATGGCAACACCTTCTCTTTTAAGAGATAAAAATAGAACTAGGTGTCTGGAGCTTAATTAGAAGAGCATAAACAGAATTCGGCTCTTTTTAATCGTTTGGCCACTAGGGGGTGTTTCTCCAATTTAGTCGATTTCTTCAATACCCCATAACTTTCTTATTTTTAAAGATAATTGATTTTTTCAAAATCTTTCTTAAAGCCCTTTTTATGTAGAATCCTTTGCGGTACACAGTTCTTATACAGGGCGTTTGGTTTTTCATGTACGACCCTAATCTGCATTTTTTCATATGGACCACCCTATATATTTTGGAGTTTTTGAAAAGAGCGTAAAATTTCCTAAATTTTGATATGTCACTTTTTGCATTTATATTAAATATTAATTGCAATATTGCATTTTATACATTTAAATATTTACACTACAGAAATTTAGGTTTCCATGGAGATCAAAAGATGGCAGGATTGTTTAAAATGACAATCTCTTAGTTTTCAGGGAAGTACTAAGAAAAGAAAAGAAAAGACAAGAAAAGAAAAGAAAAGAAAAGAAAAAAAAATTTATTGCCATGCAAACCTAGATGTCTGCAGTAAAAACATTATAAACATATTGCAATATTCCTAATCATATTTTATATAAATATAGTAAGTGATAGGTACATCAAAATTTATGAAATTTCACGGTCTTTTCAAAAACTCCAGTATGAAAAAATGTAGTTTAGGGTCGTATAAGAAAAATTTCCCTGTATAAAAAATGTGTACCTACCACCATCATGAATTTTACATTAAAAAAGTGCTCTAAGTAATAGGTATATTACCAAAATCAATTATCTTCAATAATAAGAACGTTATGGGGCATTAAAGAAATCGAGTAAATTCAAGAAACGCCCTCTAGCGACCAAACGATTAGAGATAGCTGAATTCTGTTTGCGCCAGTGATTTTCTCTTTAAAATTAAGAGCGTTTCCATACGAAAGTGTCCAATTTGAACCACCCTGTACATCCGAGACAATAAATTTATCGCTATCCGTTTGCAGTTGGAATTGTGTATCGTGGTGGAAATCACTTGTAGCCATTAAATGCATTTTGACAATTTTACGCGCTTTTCTCGGAAGCGTTAAATACTCGAATTCCATCCAAGTGTTATAAAATGGCACTCTTAGCCTATCTGGCTATCTCCCTTTTCTAAGACTGATTTGCTTAGGACTCTTATAACTCATATACTGGGGGATATTTCATACCCCCGCGTGTTTAACGTCAACTGCGATTTCCGCCTAAAACTCGGAAATTCCCAGTAAACTCACACTGTCTCACATAAAATGGACATTTTTATGGCCAATAATCCGGAAATTACGGATGCCGCAGTTTCCGAGTTTTCCCGAGTTTCGCTCAGAAATTTTCTTGATCGTTATACAAGGAAACCCTCTGAATGAAATTTACCAGGTAAAGTGAGGCAAGTGTATGCTTAGACATACTTGAATTTCCATTAACACCCTTATTCTCTTTAGAGGTTTTCTGAAAATGGTAATGGAAGTATCGTTTACTAATGGGTATTCCATACCCCCCAGACCTCTCGGTGCTACGTTTTCCACCACAAAACGTTTGTTTAGCCCTCGGGCCTCTCAGGTTTTTTAGGAGATTCTTCCCTCCGACAAAATATTGCAGAGGACGCAGCACCGGGGGGTCTATACCCCCCAGTAAAAAAAAGGTTCAATGACAATTTCCGGACAGTCACAAACCGCCCTCCAAAGGAGGAATGGCTGCATGTATCTCTGTAAGAAATATCCCTTGACCTATAAATAAAAATATAAAATATGGAAAAATTAAGTCTAAGTTTCTAGAGTTTTGGATTTAAGAGATAAGTTTTTTCAAACCTCAGAATCTGAAAGCTTGCAAGGAATTTCGCCACAATAGTCCAAATGGTGTGAAACACATGCCGACATAGATAATGAGCCACGTAGTTATTTTTTGGCTAGCAAAGAAATTAAATTCGGACTTAAACTCACCGTTTCCGACTAAAAATTGGAAAATTATATCCTTGAGCCTTGATATAAAGTCAAAATTTCCAAATAGGGTAGGTTTTCGGGTTACCCAATAACCAAAACGTTCGATCTAAACTAGAAAATTGCCATCTATATTTGTAAATTCGGATCCGAATTAGGACCTCCGGATCTAAGAACAGAAAATTTTAACCAAAGGTCCGAGCCTTCTGAAATACAGGAATTTCCAGATTTGTCGGAATTTGAGACTTTAAGTTAAAATTCAGTAAGAAAATGAGACATTTTTCGAGTTTAGGTCACCTTCTGACTTCATTTTTATACACTAATTACCAAATTTGGTATTTGGAATTTTTGACGTGAGGACTTTAAAATGGAAAATTCGAAATAACCTCTGATAATTTTCGAATTAAAGTTGAGATTTCCAAGTGTATTTTGGAAAAGGCTTCATAACCATATCTTCTTGGGATATTCAACTTTAAACTCAGAAATCTCTCACTGAAATGCAGCGTTTCCAACCTATTATAGGTACATGCAAATTTCCGTAGGTATCCCAAAATTTCTAAGGATCAGTGAAGACATGTGAATGAGGGCAAGTGTCGAAATTCCATTGAAGTAACGTGAATGAAAAATGGCATGTAAATTATCTACGAAAAAATAGGGTCACACTCATATTTTCTTTAAGATTTTCTTCCATACGAACTCGGGGTTTCCAACATTCAGACTGAAACTTAATAGCAAGTTAAATAGTCGAATTTCGGGGTTTTTGATTTGACTTTGGAAACATTTTCTTTGGCAATTGAACCTTGAAATCTGGCAGCTATTACTCTGGGAATATTAGGTTATTGACATTGCAATGATAAAAATGTCGCTAAACGGAAATTATTATATTATATTAGATACCATCATAATTGAACTGTAGGAAATCATTTAGACCTTCCTGGGGCTGTGATTTCAGTATTGACCCATTAATTAGGTATTTGGTTTTTAATTAACGTTACTCACCTATTATAACATTATCATTACACTCGCATACCTCACCATGAGGTTTTTTTCTATCTTTAAACCATTTGTCTATACTAACGGCTTATTTGCAAACTGCGTTCCTCCTCGACATCAACGTACAATAGTAAAGTGTAATTTATTTATAGATAACTACTGTACATACGGTACACTGCCTACAACGGGATTCTGCACTTCTTCCAGAGGAGTTAACAGCAAGATCTGATTCAATGAGTACCGGATCACCGTCACCTCCAGACCAACCAGAAAGTAACACCAGCGAATCGTCAAGCGGCGTTCATTCCAATGAAAGTTCAGAACATCAACCCAATATTGCACCTACCATAGTCCCTCAGCATGCACGCAGAGCTTCAAGTATAGCGAACTTGTCACAATGCCACACCAAAGAGGAAATCCAATGGCGTTCCGGCTCTCTCCAGCGCAACGTGCTGCCCCCAACTAACGGCTTCCTATTATCTACATCTCCGCCACCGACCGTTACTCAGCAACCCGAACACGGAATATGTGCGGTTTTATACGAGACGCCATCCGAAAGTACGGTAGTTATACGAAGAAAAGCCCCTCGACCTAAAACGAACGAGATCGCGCCCGGCGTGGCGATCAACGAGGAGCCATTCGGTCGCGCCACGAATATGAGGATGACTTCGTTTACTGAACATTCTGACCTAAAAGGCATGCAGATGACCTCGTCCACGCTCCCGCATTACCCCACGCAGCCGATTCCCACGCCGAACAGTTTCCCGCACTGCTCCACGATGCCCTTACCCCTGCAACACAAACCAAATGTTAGTAGTTCAACTAATTTAAGTATAGGGAAAAGTTGCAACATATACCCTAGGTTGCATACAACCATTCCGACGCATCACAACGGCGTCCGATTGTTTAGTAATACGCCCACGCCAAATCCATATCTAAAGCGACTCCTTTAGACCACATTCGTGTTTACTTAGGAAATTCAGCTTTTAACGTGTCAGCAGTAACCCATTTGGACTAATGCAGTGAAAAATAGTTAGATGTACTTAGTGTCTTACAATAATTAACCGACAGATCAAGGAAATTGAGTTGCTCAACAGCCAAGACTCCTAACAGTTCACATATTTACAGGGATTTATTCATTAGATTGCTAGAGCCTAAACGAACAATCTAACGCCGAGGTAGTACAATGAAATCACTGCGTACTGTGTTGGGAACGCAAATGAAACTGGTCTAGACGATAGTCCTGGACTTTATCAGTCGCATCCATTGTTTGCTTAAAATGAACCAAAGAAGTTATTGTCAAAATTGTTAATTTCCAAGATGGATTTCGGCTGGATAATTAAATCAATATCAAGGTGGCCATATCATGTTACCTACGTAATGAGAATATGAGTACCAGCCTAACTAGATAACATAGTCTTAAATTTTATACAAACTAGAGGAATTCCATGTATTATTGTAAATAATTGATTTTTTAATTACTGTTTCAGTGCAAATAATTTATGTAGTGCTTTGTATGTAAATTTACAATTAATCAAGGTGATTAAGTTTGATCTCTTTAGATGTATTATACGAACAACACTAATAAGACTTATCAAATGATAATAATAATATATCTCGAACAAATGTACAATTACGTTAATTTTTTATTAAATTTAAAACATTTTTTATAATATACATTTTGTTTAATACAGTGTTTATATGCGAAATTGATTTATTTCTCCCATATATGTTATTTTAAATCATGGTATTTGGATGCACTAGCTCACAGTGTAGCAGTTTGAATCCTGAAAGATAGGTATTGGGTTAAGGGTTAGGACCAGAAAATTGAAGGTTGGACAGTAATAAAGTGCCAAGTTCCTTGGTGAGATTTTGATGAGGTCAGGTCATGCGGAATCAAGTGGGTGCAATTTAAGAGTGATTAGGCTAACAGACACGTAAGGGTTACCAGAAATAACTGTTTTTCCTGCAATTGACTGTGGACTGTGCGGACTACATCTGTTGCATCTTAGCACAAAAAAGAGGGGTCCTCTATATAACTTTTCTTCGGTTTCGTATGTGTTTATGTTTGAGATGAAGCACTTTTACACGAATACTTCCAGGAATATTTACTGCTTGTGTTGTCACCTGTACTTTTCATGTTAAATTAATGGCAACCTATGCTGCAGTACAGCAAATGTACCTTTGATGTTGTTTTTTTGTACATGCAATTTATCATTTTACGGATTGTTTTGCTTTATCCAAACTAAACTGTTGTACTAAATTGATTGCTCTTGTTTTTCCTTTGCATAAAACTCTTTGCCACTCGTGTATTGACTGAGTCCACGTAATCGACTCCCACTTCCACCAACGCTTCTCCGACTTCTACCGCAAGTGCGCCGCCCACTACCACCGTTGGTGCGTCGGGCCAACAACGCCAACGCGCCTCCCATTACCTACCAGCGCGATCGCCGAGCAAACTATATACCGGTTAAGGTGACTCAAAGAGTCAAAGAGAACCACCACCAGCCCCTCAACCTGTTAAAATATAAAAAGGGAATAGGAGGCTGAAAAAAGTGAAGTGGAAATCGCGCGTGGGTGCAAAAATGATGTAAAGATTTGAGAGACGATTTTTTACGTTTAGTTAATCTGTGATTGAATTATAGTGCATTTTATGTTAATAAAGTATTCATTAAACATTTTAAAATAACACAACCTACTCCGGGGACCAACTCGAAGACCCCGTTGCCTTCTTTGACAACCTGGAGAAATACTTTTCCAAAAACAACGTCCCATCCGCTGCCCCCGCGCGCCTTGGTTTAGGAGGAACTTCAGAAGGTGGTGGAAGCTGTGCAACTACCTCCCCACTACGTACCCCCAAGTGCGACAATGAGATACGGAGCACTACGACAACCCGAGTATCAAATCCAGGCTGCACGCGCAATTCTACAACCGCAATCAGAATAAATTCGACGTCCTCTTCCTTCAGTGGAAGGCCCAGATGGATGCACAGCTGCGCCCCAATATTAACGAGTGCATTGCACTTCTCGCGGACTTATTGTCCAGGAGATGTTCAAAAAAGGACGGCAACGCCAGTTTGTGCGTGGATTACCTCAGGTCGAACGGTTGCACTCGGCAAGAACGTTCCACCATACAGCACCATACGGATGTTTCGGGAGCTAGGGATAGCGAAGGTGTTCTCCCCACTGACTCTCAAATCGAGATACTGGCAAGTCCTTTTCGCACCAGAACCTCGGGCGCTTACCGCTTTCTCGACGCCCAACGGCGGGCTCAATAACGTCTCGACCACCTCTTAGAAGTTGATAAGGATGAGGAAGTTCGTCATGGTATACCTCGACGACAGAGAACATCTTGACCACCTGCGAAATTTTGATAGAGCGACTCCAGCAACACCACCTACGCGTCGCTCAAGACAAGTTCTACTTTGGGTTTACCTCCGTGACATATCTGGGCCACGTAATCAAGGCAGACTTCTGCCGGCCACTGTCGAAAACGTTGAAACTCTCCGCGCCGCTTCTTGACGCACAAACAGCTCCGCAGTTCCTGGGCCTGACCAACTGGATATTTTACTACGTGCCCCGTTGTACCGAAATCCCGGCTGAAGAAGGGGGTCCGATGCACGTAGATGGTCGCCGCGATCAAGGCGTTCGAGTCTGCAAGTCGCCCTCAGTTACACACAAGTACTCTATCCCTCCGACCTCCGCTTACCTTTTGTTGTCCACACCGAGGCAAGCGGCAGCTGCGATCCTGTACCAGGAAGACCGAAATAAGCTCACCCGTTCGGCTCTCCTCCTCCAGGAGTGTAATTACGACGTACAGAATTGTCCTGGAGGGCACAACCAACTGGCGGATCACCTTTCTCGAAATCCCGTCAGCGGCACCACCACCGCTACCTGGATAGCTACCGACGCCGATGAGGAATTCGTGATACTACGAGCACAAAATCAACGTCTTACCATCAATAACGTCGAGATGGCCACACTCGTCGAATACGTGCGGGAAAACCTCTCTTAGAGAGTTTCTTCTACAAAGACGTCCCCAGTGTCGGCCGCTCATAGTCCCCGAGGAGACGCTCCCAACGTCGGACACTCCGAAATAGAACAAACCGCCAGGGCCATCTCCCAAATTTCTCTAAGTTGAAAGCTCGGGCTCGCCACTACATTCGAAGATGCTGGATTTGCACCGCCGTGAGGAGGCGCCCAGTACAGGACGCGACACTCCGACCCAGGCAGTCCACATTTCCATGGGAGTGGGCGGACATAATGGGACCGTACACCACCACAGTCACCGGGTTCCGCCAAATATTAATAATCACAGACCTGTTCGCCATGTGGGTGGAAGCCTTTCCGTTGCGACAACCACAGCCACCGACGTTACCATACAACACGAACTTTTCGCGAGGTCTGGATTCTATGTCCATGAACTTGGCAGGCCTACTACAGCAGACCATAGTTCTGCTTACTCATATCGTTAGTGTTCCGTTAGTGCACGTTAGTGCCGCTGAAGAAATCGTTAGTGCACAAAAGGAAACTTACTATTTTTAAAAAATATTTGTGGGCCTGCTAACTTCATGCCAGCAGACCCATTTGAGAAAATCGATTCAATCTTTACACTAGTTAAACTAGCAGCGTTAGTGCTCGTTAGTGCCGCCAATATAAACGTTAGTGCTCAAAGTGTAACAGCTCAAAACGTTGTAAAAGGGGGTCTGCTAACTTCATGCAGCAGACCCATATTTGTCAAATTGGGTCTGTCCTAATGCGAATTTGAAGCGGCTCGTTAGTGCTCGTTAGTGCTTCACATGCGAACGTTAGTGCTGCAAGGGATCCGCGTCAAAAAGGTACCAAACCACCTCAAAATTAAACCTGACTTATTGGGACCTGCCAACTTTACGCCAGTAGACCAACGAACCAAATCCGTTTGATTTTCTACTTTAATCGACCGGTAAGTATTAGTGCTCGTTAGTGCCGCCAATATAAACGTTAGTGCTCAAAGTGTACCAGCTCAAAACGTTTTAAAAAGGGTCTTCTAATTTCATGCAGCAGACGCACATCCACCCACGGGCGAAGATCGCCAGGAGGCCATTCGGCAGGTGCATCGAAAGCAATACCGCTACTAACCCACGGTCACCAAGTAACAAGTAGGGGCGCGAGTAATGGAAAGGAACCGTGACCAGAGAGCCGGATACTTCCATCCCAAATGGACAGAACCACACAGTAGAAGCCCTGACCGGAACCAACGCCTACTGGATCCAGAGGAATAATAACGAGCTCACAATAATCCAAGAGCGCCCCGACAACCGCCGGCACCTGCTCCACCCGTCTCTGCGGGAGGCTCTTGGGAAGTAGAGAGTACTGTTACGGACAAGCCGGCCAACGAAGCACGTCTGTAATAATTGGTCAACGCAGCTCGTCCAATCCAACACCATAGCAAGGCTCCCGCAACAAATACAAGGGTCGACCACCAGCAGAACCAGTAGAACAGGGAAAGTCTTCTTATCCCCTTAATGCGGCTTCTGGGACTGGAAGTCGATGTTCATCCATCATCCGCTGCAAACCAACAGCAGTCACTGCTAACCAGCAGCCGTCAAACCAGCCACCAAGCCAGTGCGTCCCACAGCGCAAATTCGCACCGGACCGGCAGCAGTCCAGGCAGCCGTTGAGCCGCCACGCCCCGCCGAAGCAGTCCAGCAGTATTTTTATGATGCTATTCTGTTGACATCTGAAATAAAATGTCATTTCTAACCGCGATTGTTACTTTATATTGCTAATTCCCTTTAATAAATAAAACACAAACTGCACTGCAATAAATGATAATTCAAGGTTACATGCATTCTACCTTCTTTCAAATTGCTGTACAGGGAACTCCCCGTTACAGAAGGAATTTCGTTAAAAGTTAGGTACTTCAACAATAGAAGCAGGTAAAGGAATTGTGACAACGCTGTGTAGTTTACGCCCCTAACATTTCCATATGATTTACATCCTGAACTTTAAGTGTGAATCGCATTATAAGGTCCAAGAATTGTCTAATATTCTGTGCAAAATGAGAAGTCCCGTCTTGTTAGATTAGCGATTGGGATTAAATAAAACAAGATGCACATGTAAATTTATTCACTGAAACTAGAAACTTAAATTATAAAATAATTGTGACCGTGTTACATACCTTACGAGCAATGGCACTAATACCATGACATTCTAATTTTTATTCCATTGGTACCTGCATGATGAATGTTTACAAGTTAGCAATGTTGTACTCTACTGTCCTGTTCACCTACTTTCTGATTACATAATTCTTGAGTTTCGTGTAACGATTTCTTCTTTGTTTCCGGTACCATGAATACGCAAAATGTTCCCGCAAATAACATGTAGGCCCCAAAAATGTAGAATGGTGCATTTACACCAATATATGCATTTGCGTACTGGTATATAAGCAAGGACGCGATACCGCTAACACTGTACAGCATGGAACCAAAGGCGCACCCCATAGCCGTTAAGTTCCTGGGAAATATTTCTGCAGACAGTAAGATCGGAATCAGTCCTATGCCCCCTTTTTGGGTAACTCCGTGCCCAACGATCGCCACAATCGGTACCCAACTGAAGTGGGTCAGATCCCAGCCGTTGCCTTTTGCTGTAAGATATATCGCTATAAACATCAGGAAAGCCGATGTGAGGAAGCATGAGAGGATTAGCAGCATTCTCCTTCCCAGGCAGTCCAATAATGAGGCACCTATCAAACTTGAAATTATTACAACCACTGCGATCAGAACGCCAAATGTGCTTGCTGAGATATTCGCTGTTAGTTCCGAAAAAATAGTTTCCATATTCATCATTAACACAATAAACCCACTGAAATTGTTGGAAGCGTTGAGAACCATTGTTATTATGAGCGCCTTTAAATTCCCCTTGGCTGTAAAGATGGAGATAAAACGTTTGATGCTCATGTCAACCCCACATGCGACAATGATCATGTCGTCTATCTCTTCGTCCACATTCTCCACTGAACGTAACCGCATTAGTTGTGTTCTAGCTTCCTCTTTTTTGTCTTTAAGCAATAGGTAGTATGGACTTTCTGGCATCATAGGGAATATTAACAAGATGATAACTACAAGAGCTGCTCCGAAAATATACGTGTTAATGGTCGCAGTATAAGCTCCAAGGGCATACACCGTTAAAATTCCAATAGGTCCCATGATGAAAACGATGGATCCTAACCGACCCCGTATACCTTTATCAGATATTTCAGTAACATAAACTGGCGTGGTTATATAATTAACTTGTCCTCCAATTCCTGCTAAGAGACGTGCAATTATTAGTGCTGTTGGTGTTGTTGCAAATATGAAAAGCACCCATGCCGATAGTTGAATAACGCAAGCTACAAGTATTGTCATTTTGCGCCCGATTTGATCCGATAAATAGGCCAAAGGTATTACTGCCACTAAAACTCCCACCATATAACTATTCTCCAACCAAGGTACATCTTCCCTTGTGACTGGGATGGGCGATGATGGTGAAAGTAATCGGGGGATTATAGGTGAAGACCAACCGATATGCATTCCATCTGATACCGCATTTAGCGCCGCTGCGACAATGAAGGATTATTTAGAGGTTCATATAAAAAAAGAGATTCTTACCTATAATTGACGCAAATGCTTGAAGTCGCCTTCCTGAACAGATTCTTTTAAAGGAGAATTTGTGCGGCTCCATGGTCCCGCATAAAATAGACAAGGATAAGTCCTTCTGAAAACAGAAATTATGTTGCTAACTTGGGAAGGTTGGCTAAGTTTCTTTGGTTAGTTTTAGACCTGATAACATTAATTAAGGTTCGAATTTAGAGATTAAATTTCGTCTTAGTAACCGAGATTACAGAGTCGGTTTTTATAAAAACAAACGATTTAGTAGATACTTGCTCATTTATCAACTGTAGCGCCGTTCTGAACGCCTACGCGAAGTAAAGAAATCACCAGAAGTATACCAAAATGTGGATAGTACACAGGTCCATAAAAGAAACACGTTCACTCAATTTTAAGGGTGAAAATTAAGAGTGATGCACGTACAGATTATATACTAGTTAGGAATTCTGAATTGGAATGTTTCCGCGCAATACGCCATAATGAGAACTGCGGGCGGATATGAAGTGTTGATTTGATATCAAATTGTCGATTTTCACATATTATCGTTTTGCATGTTGATATTGGGGTTGTTCGGAAAGTCATTTCGTTTTGTGTGGTGAAAATGAAAGACGAATTTTTTAAAGTGTATAAACATTTTATTAAATTATATATTCTCCATTTTGGTCCAATACCTTTTGTCATCTTTCGGGCAGGACATTGATTCCACGCTCATAAAACTTCTGGTCTTTGCTAGCAAAATACTGGTCCAAGTGAAATTTGACGTCTTGATTTGAGGTGAAGGTCTTCCCGTCCAAAAATTTTGCAGAGACCGGAACAAGTAATAGTCTGAAGGTGCCAAATCTGGAGAATATGGTGGGTGTGGTAGTACATCCCATTCAAGCTGTAAAAGCTGTTGGCGGGTTACCAAACTTGTGTGAGGTCTCGCATTATCGTGGTGGAACACTACACGTTTTCTATTGACCAATTCTGGCCTTTTCTGTTTAAGTGAATCGTTCAATTTGTCCAGTTGACCACAGTACACTTCAGAATTAATCGTGGTATTGTCCGGTAGAAGCCCAAAAAAAACTATCCCTTTGAAATATCACCAAACAGATAGCATAACCTTTTTTTGGCGAATATCGGCCTTCGCAGTGGTTTGAGCTGGTTCACCTTTTTTACTCCATGATCTCTTCCGCTTAAAATTTTTGTAAACAACCCATTTCTCGTCGCCAGTAGTGATACGCTTCAAAAATGGATCATTTTCTTGACGTTTGAGAAGCAAATCACAGTCGTTAATGCGCCGAAGCAAATTTCTCTCTGTAAGAACATGTGGAACCCATATATTAAGTTTTGAAATAAAACCAAGACGTTTCACGTGATGATGAACGGTCGAATTCGATAAATGTAACCTCTCAGCAATCTCACGAGTTGTTATTTGACTGTTTGCATCTACCAATGCCTTTATTTCGTCTCCATCGGCTTCAACGGGTCTTCCAGAACGTGGTGCATCTTCAAGATCGAAATTGCCGGAACGAAATTTTGCAAACCAATTTTGGCATTGTCGTTCGGTCAGTACATCTTCTCCATACACATCGCATCATTTCCGCCTTGCCTGAACTGCATTTTACCTTTTCGATAGTAAAAAAGTAAAATATGCCGAAAATGCTGATTTCGATTTTCCATCTTTGATAGGGCACCAAACAAAAAAATGGCAAAGAATCAAACAAAACTCTTACCATACAAGCATTACTATGTCAGCTGTCAAAATATTTAATGTTTATGCGGCTTAAGTGTAAAATTGGCTGTGAAACAATACAATTAGGTTCTCTGTTGAAGAAAAACGAAATTACTTTCCGAACAACCCGATAGAAAAATGTACAGTGTGGTATACTCCATTATGAAATCGACAAATTCGAATATTGTAGTCATGATCCTGCAGTTTTTTTTTCTAAATTTTTTGCTTGTCTGTGAAAACGTAATAAGTATATACTTCAGGTTTTTGGCGCACATTTCCTCAGAAAACCCACCTTGGTTAGTATGACGGTTGTATACCAGATGATCTTTGATTCGAATCCTGGTTTGGTCGTGAAAGTCAAGTGAGTAGGGTAGGTAGACCAACCCCAGTTGAATTGACAACATAAGGGTATGGAGCCAAAAGGACTAAAACTGAAACTGAAATAGTTAATTTTTAGAAACATTCGTCTACATCGCTCATGGAAGACAAGAATATGCTAAAAATTCAATTTTATATGAAGCAGTTTTTCATATGAGCTGAATGCTTACACCTAAAAGTTTCTGCAAATTTTTCACCAACAGAAGCTACCGACGCGTTTTTCAAGTAATAAGAGATGAAGAGGAAAAGAATGGCCATTTCATTTACAGAAGGTTTACAAATAGAAATCATTTAGTCAATAGAGAGTTATGCTTCATATTATGAAGACTGTACATGCATTATAAAGTTACCAGAGCAGCATACCTATTCTTCAGAACCGTCTAAGTAGTACACTGCCACTGACACAAGTTGCAATGATTTTGTGTCCAGCTGCGCTCTGCCGGGATCGACTGTTTATAATCCTACATTGAGACCGTTTCCTGGATGTAGAATTGACATTGGCCATCCAGCTGCACTTTGCATGGACCGGTCAGAGAATCCTCGTCTACGTTACCACATTCGATCTAGAGCTGCAGTCAACCCCTAGCACAGGGATTGCGACATCCGACCCAATATTTACCATACTTCCGCAACAAAGGATCGGCAGAATTTAAATACGCGAACCCAAACGCCAAGAAGGCACATGAATTGGGCAAGTTATCCATTACCCTTCTACAAGCGACTGAGACTGGTCGCTTCGCTCTAGTCCAACAAGTCTACTTGTCTATATTTGTATTAGATGAGCTTTCGTGCAAAACCGGCTATATCCAAAATTAGCAAAAAAAAAATTTTTCTTCTATTTCAACCTTTACAGTGCAGACTATCGATTGGTGCAGTTATTTCGATGCAAAAGGGGTTATTTCATCTGTATATTGCTTTTTAAGAAGTAGCTTTTGAAGCAAACTCGGCAAAATCCACTGTTATGCATCAAACTCAAACAAAAAATTTTGCGGAAACCCTGTTGCAACTTCCAAAGAAAAATATGTTGTTAAACAACTGGAACACGATTGGGAACTTTGTGATATAAAGGCTGTAGAAGAACATCATGAAAATGTCAAGGGTACTGCAGAGATGAAAAAAATACAGGAGCTACTGAAGTTGAAGCCTGTCGAGTTTAAAAACACCAAAAAAGAAAAAGAAAAGCCTCATGCATCCTATGAACGAACAATTTGGACCAGAGTGGAAAGATAGAGTAGGCTTACAGTGGTACAAAAAATTGCTGTATTCTGAAGAAAAAGGTACCGATGGAGAAGTTACTTTATGTCTTAATTTTTAAGATCTAAATGTTTGAATAAAAAAATGTTTAGTAGTTATGTGGTTTTTAATCAAATCCGGCTATACCTCGTTTCTTTAAAATTTCTGGAAAATGAAAAAAATTCCAATATGTCATATCTAACCTCTATAAAGAACTTTTTTTATTTTTTGAATACCTGGCAGGCCTTGCAATGAGAGGTTTTTGCCGTTTTCCCACAATTTAATGAAACTAGATTTATCCGGTTCTGCACGCAAGCTCCTCTAATGTAATCTGAGGTTTCATTGTTAAGAATTGCTCTAACTATTATTATTCCAAAATACGTTAACATTTGGCATCCTCTAGGCGGGGACTATCGACAGCAACGCGCTCCGACGACACTCACGCCGATACAGACGATAAAACGACGCTGGCCCAGCACAAGACAGCAATTACATCTGACAACGGCCCGTAGTTCTTCTCCGTCACTTGGAACGCCGCGCTAAGGCACTGATTCCACCCTCAGGACAACCCGGTATGGACCTGCATGGAAAAGATCCATGGGACGCCGAGCACCGATTGTGTTGTACACCCTACGAACACGAAGAATCGCCGCCACTGGAACAAAGCCCAGCCACGCCAGCCACACTCTCCTCGGATACAAGTTTCCGCGCACAGGGAAGTGGCATGCGAAACCTGAGCCGCCCACGAGAGCGTAACTCTTCTGTACCCGCTGCCTCCGGTGAATCTAATATTCCCCCCTTCGTTCTGTGTCCTTATTGCTTTCTGGGTCACTTCGCAATTGGTTTCCTATCATTCCTTCCCCGAGATTGATATCCTCTTGTGCTATCATCAGCGTTGGCTGGTTCCAAGGTACTAATCATCAGATTAGTTGTCTTCTCTTAGGTAGTGTCTTACTTCTACCATACCATAGTTTAATTGGTAGATCCTTAGCTTGATTTTGCTTCGAACTTCTTCTGACCAGAATTCTTTGAGGAACTGTGAACTGAATTTTTGGAAAGCGGCCTTCCACATGGACCTTAGACTACGGAAGGCGGGGACTCGTAACACCCAATCAGACGCAATGTTGCGGCTTGAAGCAAATTTTCGCATTGCTTGGTGGCAAACAAAGCTTTTTTCCTTTTTGTTCTTCCGAAGAGATCTTTGCATTTTCGTCCGTGCGTGATTGTAAGGATATAAAGTGACTTTATTGTTACATTGTGAAGATGATACGGTATGGTTGCTGCTTTAATTCTACGAAAAATGACTGTCGGCGGCAATGTCTGTGGTGGCAAACAGAGCTAAAATCTGCTTCACCTTGCGATCATTTTTTATCCCTCCTTTATCTTTCCTTCTCTAAGGTTTGAACGTACCATCAACCCTTTTCGGCATTGTTCCGAAATGTTTTAACTGCAATGGAAGGTTTTGTGTTGCTATTTCGATATTGCGGACTTCTTTCATGGTCGTCATAGTTTCTTAATGTCTTTGGCGTATTTGCACTCTTTCTTCATTTAAATTAATTTTTTCACCCATCTCGTCAATGGCGCTCATTATTTGACGCTTAAAATATTCATTTTTATCGTCAATTTTCTCTTCCTTATTATACAGTTGATCATCCTCTTGTTTCATAAGCTCTTCAGTGCATCCTACAGATGTCTTCTTGTGTTATCTCTAATTTTTCTTCCAAACGGCTCAGTTGATCTCTTAGTTCTTTATGGAGTGTATCAACTTTATTTTGGTTTGCTTCGACTTTCGTTTTTACTCCCCCTTGATCTTTTATTTATTGAAAGTGCTTTATCATTACTGAAAGTATTCTAATATCTATTTTTGGTACTTGTGTCTCATAGATTTCTATTATTTTTTGAATTTCTTCTCATCATATTCTTGGCGACTTTGTTTATTGCACATTTTGTCCTCTTGAGGTTTCCTTGCCCGATTCTTGAATCTAGATCATAATTCCATTAAATTTTTCCCTATTCATAAGAATATATCAGGGTTGGATTGTTTCGTCGAGCCTCTCTGTTGGGCGCTAAATTGTAACGGGAGCTACAATGGGAGTTTGGGTTCCTCCGATGGGTGTCAATATCTTTTCAAATTGAGTTGCACGACTATTTTTATTCATCTTGAGCTGAGCGGTTGACCTTCAAAGTATAGTACCTACTTTACAACATACCTTGGGAGTTGCGATGCCTTCGAGTACTGAGTAAAAATTGGTTGGGAAGAAAATTAGATAAACAATTATTCATTTTCAAAGGTATGCGTAAAATTTTGAGATAATTCGCTCACTTACAACTTACAAGTTGATTTGTCACACCATGTTCGATACCTTGATGGCTGACGAAATTCTATGGCAGGGTAGCGTGATGACGGGCCTATTTTTCTCAATGTTCATTCTGTTTATTCATTCAGAAGTATATTAAGGGGTTGATGCTGCTCTGTACGATTCCTCTTATAGTTCCTATTATTCACTAATCTGGTGCGGACTGCAGATCTTCCTAACACATGAGAAGAATTGCCATAATAAACACAACGTAGGAGTTCTATTCGGGCCACCTAGTCCGAGCCGACTTCTACAGAGAGTTGAATATGGTGCGAAACGTCCCACACTTCGCCATGAAAGTAGAGATAACTCTGCTCGTAGTCCCCCAGAGTGTATGCATTAATATAGGGTAAGTCAAGATTGCAGTACCGGCAGGTGACCTCTAAGATCACTACACCTACATAGGTATAATTCGAATTTCACCAGGTCGTAAATTATAAGCCAGTATTTTTCCAAAAAAAGGTTCCTTTCTTTCAAAACTTCCGATTTCTTACAATTTCTGAACTTATCGTTGTAATTCCTCCAGGAATGATAAACTTTACTTGAGGGTTATGGGTATTTTAAAGACATGCTCGACCTGATGGAAGGCACCATGACATTACTTGTAGATGGAAGGCGCGTTATCCGCCATTGTTGCTTTACTAAAAATGATCATTCATACGAACTGAAAACTATAATCAAAGTGCGTACCTGCTCAACCCTTATCAATGCTCCACAATCCACATGATTGTGTGCGACCTCCTTTTCTAGCGGTAGAAGTTAGGTACGCTTGAAACTGAAACGCTCAACTAAGTACCTATAATTTCGACGTTTCATCATTTCAAAACATCGAGTGTTTGTATTTTGTTTTGGTATCTGCTCCCAAATAGGTAAAAAAACAATCCGTCTGCAATATTTTGAATGAAACCTTATCAAGAAGTGAAAATTCATATTTATCAGCAGGAAGTCGGCAACTTGTTTTTTGACAGGACAGGAATCAATTATGCACAAAAACAGCCACTTCGAGTAGAATGGTCGTGTGCGACATAAGTCGGATTTGTTCTAGAAAGTACACTCAAGTACTTGCATCGTTAACAGGTGAAAATTATTTTTTAATTTGTTCAAGGAGTAAAGGTACGTTCTTAATCTTGACATTTTAGGTGCGCTAATCGCCCTGTCTGATGGAATGCAACTGGGTTGGTCATCGCCAATGGTGCCAAGGCTGTTACTGCCATCATCTCCGGTTCCAATACGGAAGAGCGAAGTAGTATGGATAGAGAACGCGTATCTGTTGGGAGGTTTAGTGGGATTATGGTTTACAGTATATTTGTCAAATAAAATCGGGCGAAAGGGCGCAATTTTAGTGGGGGGCTGTCAGAGTTTGCTAGCTTGGACGATAATGAGTTTGTCAAGAGATTCCTGGGTACTGATGTTGGGAAGATTCATAGCTGGAATAGGAGCTGACATCAACTACGTAACGACTCCAATGTACATTGCGGAAATAACACACCAGAGCAGAAGGGGGCGCTTGGGATGCACAGTGTTTGTAATGATGCACATCGGAACTTTTTTGGTGTACGTCATTGGGCCGCATATTCCCATAGTGACGACAAGCGTAATTGGTGCGGCGGTCTGTGTGATACAACTATTAACATTTTCAGTGATGCCCGAGAGTCCGTACTATCTAATTATGAAAGGACATGATAAGGAAGCCAAGGATTGTTTACGAATATTGCGAGACTCAGCAAATTTGGAGGAAGAGTTCGATGCCATGCGCGATGCGGTAAAGGAGGAAACAACGTCTCCAAGACGGCTGCGTGATCTTTTTCAGAGCAAGAGTAATCGGAAAGGACTTTTATTGACGGTTGTTTTGAATATCCTACAAGACTTCACTGGGTGTACTGTCATTGTCATGAATTTGCACACAATTTTAAGTGAATTCTCACCAGTAGGAGCGCCAGTAGCAATTATTGGCATCGTCTTTTCAATAGTGTTGGTGATTTCGTGTGCGACCGCTGGGTATCTGATGGATGTCGTGGGTAGAAGAAAGCTTCTGATAGTATCTTGCTTCTTAACCTCAATTAATCTTTTTGCGATTGCCGCTTATTTGACGGTGAATATAACGGGAATATTTACCCCACATTTGGAGTGGGTAGAATACGCCTCACTAATAATATACGCGATAGTTCAACAAAATGGCGTTGGAGTAATTCCGAATGTAATACCGGCCGAATTATTTCCCACCAACGTAAGGGCTTATGGCTGTACAGCAGGGGATGCATCTTTCATTATAGGCAGTGCACTGTCCATCTTTTTGTACCATTTTATAGTTAAATACGTTGGAATGGACGTACCATTTTACATGTTTGCTATCTGCTCTTTATTTGCGGGCATATTCTCTATATTTGTTGTACCTGAAACTACGGGAAAGACCTTATACGAAATTCAAACCATGCTGAACGCAGGTGGGAGTCGTCGCAAAAGGATGTACACCTCTGAATCGAAGCGGAAACTGAACTCGAACTCTCCTTGTGAATCAGATGTGGACAATTAGCGACAATAGTAACATAACATATTATGCAGTACACAGAATGTATTGTAAAACACTCTAATATAACTAATTAAGACAAAATTGAGCTAGTGTACACGTACATTATCTTCTTTCGTTTATGGGGTTCGCACCATAAGATAATAACTTTTGACCGGTGCTGGCCCAACCAAAATTGTTGGAAACCTCGCATGTTAGGGTGACACAGGAGATTAAAACAAGCTTGAAATAACTCGAAAACACAGGTCTTGCCTAGGCATGAAACTACCCTTCCAATTTGCTCTCTACTTCTTATGACTTCCTACACTGAGTCGCTCCATTTGGTTGTCTTCGTCCCCGATCTCCATCCGCTCCGTGTTTGAGCGCGTCTGCCGTCTTTTCCTTAGTACCTTCTCCCAGGGAAGCTTACCGGCATCAAGCCTAGGCAAGACCTGAAATAATCGTTTTTTACCCTTCGGGAGAAAACTGTTAATATGTCATGTCTGTGCAATCGGCTTGACCCCTATCTGAGAAGTGTTTGGAGTCTGACGACTCGGGGATGCGTACTGTGACACCTGTAAGAGGTAATAGTTTGAAGGTTAGTAAAAGAACCCTCCTATTAAAATGCAACATATTTATTTATTTCCAAAGACTAACTGCTTTCAGGGCACAGAAAAAACTAGGCGGGTTATCTCGCACCCTGATTCCGTCGGAGGTGACGCTTTTTTAATTTCCTTATAGTAATGCTTGATAAAGTTTCCTTTCCCCTCCAGTTCCCGTTGGCCATGATCGTGTCCAAAGGAATGTCATCCCCATAGCGTGAGGACGCTACAGGTATGTATCCCGAAGGGAAGGTAATTCCGGTTAAAAAGTTATTACTAAAACGGCCAAGAGGAAAACCTGGAAAATATTTTCAAGTTTCTGAAATGGCCGCTTGGGGGCGTAATGTTTCTGTGAATTTCGCTATAATTAACCTAAAAAAAAGATACCTGGTCTTTAAAGTCGAGGATACTCTGAATCTTTTTTTTTTCATAATGTTTTTTGCTGTATCTCTAAAAATGAAGAGGCGTGGGTTTCCGAAAAAAACACCCTGTATCTTCGAAACGGCTGAGCCGATTTTAACCAACTTGGGATAGTTGAAAAGAGATATTCTTGGGCTACAAATATTATAATATTTGAAGTGTTGCATTGTAGTTTCACATGTCGCTTTCTTTCACTAATACAAATAGTTAATTTTCTCAAAAAAATGTAATGCATTAGTTTGCTTTTTTTTTCATGAAAAAGTAGTACAGGAGCAACCGCATCTCGATATCTTGTTCCTAACCTAAAATGTAGGCCGAAGAAAACCCTTTTAGAGATAATATTATGATCTACAGTTCTTGTGTGAACTATATCTTTGATCAAACTTCTCGTTTTCGAGAAAAAACAAAAAACTGAATATTGTGACCTTTGACCTTGAATAACTTTTTTAGCACATACGGGATTTATGGGGACGTTTGGCACTTTATCATTTTTGTAGTATGATCTACAATTTTTGTCTGAACTATATGTTTGATAAAACTTGCCCTCTACGAGGAAACTCCAAAAAACCGAAAATTTTGTCCTTTGACCTTGAATATTTTTTAGCGCACATGGGATCTATGGAGACTTTTGGTACTTTATTTCTACTGGTCTTTACCAAAATTTAACTGCGTTTGTGATATAGTTTTGTTGCATGAAGATGAACTGTCACTTGTAATTAAATATAATACGTTTGTGATTTTCTGTAAAAGTTTCGTGTTTTTTAGCTCCGTTACCTTAATTAAACGTTTTCAGCAAAAAAAAATTTGCGGGAGAAGCTCTAAATTTTCCACAATCTAGTAGATCCATTTCATTTCGTCGAAATCAGGGATTATGTTACTTATGTTTCGTCATTCTTAAGTTGGTGAAACTGAAAAATCTGAAGCGGCAGCTAATCCTTGTCCTAGCTAGAGGTTACGTTAACTTAAAATTGCCAAAAAATATACTGGGTTTAACGTCTATATTAACAAATGCAGTAAAAGTAGTATAATTTTAGGTCTTGCTCGACTTATACACCAAATAAGCGGCACTTCCTAGGCACATGTCGATACACTTGAATGAAACCACTTTTGGAAGCGCATACAGTCTAAACTTGAACGCCTAAAGAAAAACGTCGAAGAGAGGGTAACATTTTGCATCTGGTAAGAATCTCCTTGTACACTCGAGAAGGGAAACCCAGGGAACCACTCACATGCCTCTCTGTCTTCCATAGATTGCCTCTTTGTTAACGACCGCCCATTAACTTCGATCGCCTTTTGTGTATCAGCGAGTGATTAAGTGCAGTCAAGTTGTAGTAGAAAATCTTCAGAAGTACGTATATTACTATGTTTTTCTTTTATCATAGTTCATGGCTACTTAAGACTAAAAACTCGTGAAAACAGAATCTTTATAATTAATTTTTTCGCGTACAAGAAGAGGTAGAATCATTGTTTCACATGATTTAGATGCAGAATTTATTTGAAGTATTTTTGCGTAAAATAATTAGGAAACGTTTGCGCAAAGAAAAAGTAATTCCCCATGTTAAACGCCTATGTTCCACTTTTCGATTTACATCATTATTGGAAAGTTTATTAAGTCGTGGAGAAATAACATAACTTCTTAAGAAATTGAAGTTGGAATGTTACGAACACTCTTACCAACTTAAACGTAAGCGTGAAATTTGGAGTAATATAACCTCACATTTCGATGACATTACTTTTAATTAGGATTGTGGAAAATTTAAGGCTTCTCCCGCAATTTTTTTGTTGAAAACGCTTACTTTAAGTGTCCTCTAGCCATTTTCTTTAATTTCATGATCGTAAATGGGGGGGGGGGGCAAATCATTTCAACCGCTTTAAAAGAAAAATGAAATATACAAACAAGTACCTATTGATCAAAACGAGATAATAGTGCTAATCAATAAAAATTATTTGTATTAAAAATTGATTAATAAGTTTACATTAAATGGGAACAGTAAAAATTATATTTTCACGTCTACAGTCAATAAGTAGAAATTATGTCGCGTTCAAAGACTGAAAAAGTACTTCTTTTTCACGTGCGGGTAAATAGTATCGTTCTCTGTAATTTTCCCATCGAATTGATTATTGTACGAGCATCCTTGGCCACAATAACAACTTGCCTTGTTATTACTACTAATCTTTTGTATTTTGAATAATGTATATTGGTGTGGCCTGTATGTGAATATAAAGCGTAGTTTTCGGTTAGACTTTGAATTAGAAGTGTGATAATGAAGAGTTTCTATTTAGTAAGTTTGTTCATCTCTACTGTGGTTGGTTTCTCTTCGATGCCATTAAATGCGAATTTTTCAAGACAACTGTGCACGTATGCAGTTATACAAAGATTTTTTGTTGAATCTACGTTCTTACATTTTATAATGGACGGCAGTCAACTATGCATAAACAGTTTATTTTATGCAGAAGTGGCAATTCCACACACTATACTAAACACCCAGAAGAAGTTAGATGGGAAATCATTTTTTTCTTATGGTGATGATTTTGTGCTTTGCGGAGAAGGTATAAAAGAGCTTTTCTTGTCAGTAAACATCATGGTCAACATGCGACACTTTCAAGGTAGAGGGCTTGGAATCATTCGCGTATTAATCATAACAGGCGAAGTAGAGTTAGATGTAGATACGATATATAGGGCATTTTGGGAACGTGGTGTATACAATATGGCCGTTCTGATAGACAGTGGACAAGAGGAAACATTGTACGCAGCGGATTGGTATGATCCAGCAAATAATTGTGGGAAAATGGCAAATAATGTCAAGTCCCAAGATTGCAACGAACCGATTACAATAATTAGTCCAATCACTCCACTAAACCTTAACAGGTGTCCAGTAACGTTACTAGTACAGAAAGTAGGTCGTCCGCTACACTTTCCGGCTGTGCTTTACGAGTTTTTCCTTGTTAAACTGTTGGCAAACCACTATAATGGAACGTTTAACATCATAGTATTTACAACTTTTACAGAAAGCTTTAACCACATGATGACTCACCAGGTAATGTTGCAACCTTCAAATGCCGTACTCTTAGATCGTTACAATTTATCTCAGTCTACTTATAGTACCGAAATTATTTGGGTGGTACCAAAAGCTAAACCAATTCCCGCAATTAGTAAAATATTTGTGACCTTCCAACCGGTTCTGTGGTTTATGATCATGGTGGCATTTCTCGTGACAACGATTGTTTGGTGGTGTATACTATCATGGAATAAACGCCATTTGAACTTAGAAAACTTGGCCATCGCGGCAACTGATGTCAGCTCGCTTACGATATTGGCCTTAATTGCAAACGTACCAGGAGGGTTTGCCCTACGTTGCCTTTTATCAACATACCTCATTTACATTATTCATATAAATTGCGGTTTCACGTCAAATTTGATTAAGGTACTTACGGTTACACGATACCAGCACCAAATTAATAGCTTAGAAGAGTTGGCGGATACCAATCTTTCAATATACGTTGACAAAAGCTTCATGAATGCATATTTCGGGCATAATCGTTCTAGGTGTGGTCTTCATGAAAAATTACAAAGGTCATTGGTTCCAATAAGTCCAGGTCCTCGAGACCACATTAACCTTTTGAAAAATATAGATGAGCATGGTGACCGTACTGGAATAATGGTATATACAGATTTCGTGCAATATCAATTCGTGATAAAGAAAAAATTGAACGTACACATCATTACCGACAGTAGTGTAACGGGAAGAATGGAATTTGCTCTGCACTATTACCGCCATCACCACTTTTCCCCATACTTAAACCATTTTCTTGATTTAATGAGAGATTCTGGAATTGGGAACAAGCAATTAAATGATTATGAAACTGATTTTGGGAAAGAACGAGATATTTTCGATGTTGAACAACCAAAGATAGTGGTCTTAACATTAAACCATCTTTCTTTCACGTTTGCCTTACTTGGAATAGGCATCATCATCTCTGGAGCAGTTTTTGTAATGGAACTTGTAGTGCACTCGTATTCATCTCACTAAATAATACACGTATGTACTTATAACAATTTGCAATTATATAGGTAGGTAATATACAATCGTTTTGTATACGAAGAATTTAACTAGCTAATAATCGCAATCTTGAAAATGTACCACCTTGTGATTTTGGATACTTATTGAAATATAGATATCTGCAATTATTTATTCGTATTTTTATTTTGGAATGGATAACCAATTCACCAATCACCAATTTTGTAGGATGCAAGCGTCCTTTATGATACAAGAACTGTTTAAACGTGGTGCAATACTTTGATTGAAAGTGTTTGCATCCAAAGATTTCATGGTATTCTTATTAATGTAACTTAACTTAGCTTACCTAACTTAATAACGTTTGTCTTGCTTAGGGATAGGTTTCATTTTATCTGGAGTGATTTTTTTATAGAACTTATGTGCCTATGTTGATCGCACTAAATATACAGTTTAAAATTTGCGTTTTTTGATTTTGGGTAGGAACAGTGAAATTATCATAATACCCTTGCATCAGATATGTAATCTCTATTTTTTCTTTTAAATTGTTAGGCTGATAATGGATGTGAATACTCCAAGACATTGAACGCCCTGTGCGACGCAGCACTGGAAAATACACCATTTTGTCTACTATTTTCGATTTTTGTTGTTTTAGTCATGAAAGAGAGGTTTTAAAGCAATTAGGTACCTATTGTCGTATATTTTGTTTAAACTAGATAAAACTTTTGCCAATTGAAGCCCTTAAGAAATTGTGCTTTGAGATACAGTGCTTCAAAGATTTGTAAATTCTTTAGTTTTCTAATTTCATCAAATTTGTGTTTTTTTTAACCTCATAATAGTTAGGTATTTATGAATCAAGGACATTAAGGCGATATTTATGCCCAGGGCGATAGAGCCCGAGAGATTGGTGGTCGCCCGAGGGTTACATATCGAGTAATGCCTGACGTGCATACAAAATTTTATTTTTCATAATTCCAAATAATGTATTTCCAATATACAAATATAATGATTCATGTTTGCCCAACATTAAAGTGCTTCATACGAATGAAGTAGTTTCTTATTTTAATACATAATATAACTCCATCAATTTATTTGACAGAACGTTTGAGGGCACAGTGAGATGACAATCCATTATGCCCTCTCATTACGCCCTCGGACCTCATAGACTGCTTTATATTGCTGTGTTTATTTCGTCTGGGAGGATGAAATTTTTGTAAATCTTAATTAAGATGGACAAGGGCGGTTCTTATGTAATTAAATTTTATTAGTTTGGCGTTGGTCTATATGAGGGCACGGAAATTATTGTCATACGAGAAATCGGTCAAGGTTGTTTTTGTTTACAATTTATTTTATTTAACGTAGAAACTTCTGGGAATTTTGTTTGGTCTTTATCTGCTATCAAATGTTAATGCTTAATTTAATTGGCAGGTGGATGTGATTTATCGCTTTTTCTCTGTAGTTAAGCCAGATTAAATTTTATTTTTTCCAAGAATTTGATGCCTTAATGTCTAATAACCCTGGCTGGAACTCTTGATCTAGTAGGTAGCCCAATCTTGGAACTGTTTGAAATTATGGAATCTACAGGCCATATTCTATAAGAAAACGTTTTTTTCCGGTCGATCTGAAACAATTTTTTTTGAGGCCTCAAAAAAAGGCAGAGTATAACCTGCCTTTTTTACCAAAAATCGACTACACCCAAATTTCTCGGGAAAACACTTGTTCTTATTAATTTCGGTGCGTATAATCCAAAACGATTCGTACTTTTTCGATTAGACTTCTCAATCAAAAGTTATGGACTAAAAACCAATTTCGAAAGAAAATTCAAAGGGCTGTAACTTTTGATCTAGTAGCCCAATCTTGGAACTGTTTGAAATTATGGAATCTACAGGCCATATTCTATAAGAAAATGTTTTTTTCCGGTCGATCTGAGACAATTTTTTTTTGGGGCCCAAAAAAAGGCAGTGTATAACCTTCCTTTTTTACCAAAAATCGACTACACCAAAATTTCTCGGGAAAACACTTTTTCTTATTAATTTTGGTGCGTAGAATCCAAAACAATTCGTACTTTTTCGATCAGACTCTCAATCAAAAGTTATAGACTAGAAACCAATTCGAAAGAAAATTCAAAGGGCTGTAACTTTTGATCTAGTAGCCCAATCTTGGAACTGTTTGAAATTATGGAATCTACAGGCCATATTCTATAAGAAAATGTTTTTTTCCGGTCGATCTGAGACAATTTTTTTTTGGGGCCTCAAAAAAAGGCAGTGTATAACCTTCCTTTTTTACCAAAAATCGACTACACCAAAATTTCTCGGGAAAACACTTTTTCTTATTAATTTTGGTGCGTAGAATCCAAATCGAATCGTACTTTTTCGATTAGACTTCTCAATCAAAAGTTATGGACTAAAAACCATTTTCGAAAGAAAATTCAAAGGGCTGTAACTTTTGATCTAGTAGCCCAATCTTGGAACTGTTTGACATTATGGAATATACAGGCCATATTCTATAAGAAAATGTTTTTTTCCGGTCGATCTGAGACAATTTTTTTTTGGAACCTCAAAAAAAGGCAGTGTATTACCTTCCTTTTTTACCAAAAATCGACTACACCAAAACATCTTCGGAAAACACTTTTTCTTATTAATTTTGGTGCGTAGAATCCAAATCGTATCGTACTTTTTCGATTAGACTTCTCAATCAAAATTTATGGACTAAAAACCAATTTCGAAAGAAAATTCAAAGGGCTGTAACTTTTGATCTAGTAGCCCAATCTTGGAACTGTTGAACATAATTTTTGGTTTATTAATTTAGCATGTCAATTACGTGGGTGGAAGTAACAGTCAAGAAGGCCGTATTTTCTTCTGTTATTGAGATATTTTCAAGGAGTAATTTCGTTCAAATTTTTTCAAAATGTGATAATTGTAAGTATGTAATTCCTCTTGAAATGGCGGATGGTGGCAATTATTCATTTTAGAGAACTTATCTGAACGTTTATTGAGCGAAATTTCGGGTTGTGATTTCTAAAAGTGACAGCGTGACAGTTCTCATTATTGACTACTGGTTAATAATCACCACATTATTGAACACTTTGAACAACTGGCGAGAAAGCCTGCTTTACAAGTGGAAAAAAGGGTTAAAAATCATGTTATTAGACACCATTAGTGAAACAATAGATTTTGATTTTAGGTATCTATATAGATAATCACAATCATAGGTGTTCACTTTTTTGGAACGAGGCGGGATTTATGCACTCAGAAATAACTGCGTTATTACTTTTCAAGTGTTTACCAGATTTTACCTCTCCGGTCACCTTCTGTCACATTACGCATCTTATGAACAAATGAGTACTTCCTCGTTACTTCCCATATACTTCCCCGTACTTCCTCGAACTTCCTCGTACTTCCCTGGACTTCCAGTAATTCCCCGAACTTCCCCGTACTTACCCGAACTTCCTTGTACTTCCTCATAACTTCCTCCATTCTGTACAATTACTTCACCTGGTGTTTACCCCCTGCTGAAAACAAAATTG